CATCACATCACCCACAAGTCCTTCTCTGTTCACAAACAGCAGATCCAGCGAGTGCCTTCCCTAGTTGGCTCCCTCATCAGCTGTGTCAGCAAGTTCTCTTCCACACAGTCAGGAACCTCCTGGACTGTTTCCTCTCTGCTGTGTTGTATTTCCAGGAGACATCTGGTAAGTTGAAGTCTCCAAAAAGCACAAGGACTCGAAATTTTGAGACTTCTCCCAGCTGTTTATAGAATATTTCATCTACCTCTTTACCCTGGTTGGGCTGTCTATAACAGACTCCCACCATGATATCTGCCTTGCTGGCCTTCCCCCCAATTTTTACTCATAAACACTCAACCCTATGGTCACCATCATTAAGCTCTGGACAATTAAAACACTCCCTAACATACAGGGCCACCCCACCACCTCTCCTTCCTTGCCTATCCCTTCTGAAGAGTTTATAGCCATCCATTGCAGCACTCCAGTTGTCTGAGTCATCCCACCATGTTTCTGTGATAGCAACTATGTCATAGTTTTCCCGCTGCACAAAGGTTTCCAGCTCCTCCTGTTTGTTGCCAATGCTGCGTGCATTGGTGTAGATGCACTTCAGTCAGGCTATTGATCCCGCAACGTTTTTGGGGGGAGAAGTCCCAATTCCTATGTGACCATTCTCAAGCTCTTCCGTGTTTTTTAACGCATCAATAGCCCTTGCGTCTTTGCTGCCACATGGCTCTCCATCCCCTACCTCCACTGAGATGGCAGGCCGAAGGACCTCGCTAGCACACCACCCCTCAAATGCTGGCATGCTGCCCCAAGGCTTATCTCTAGTGAGCCTGGTATTATCCTTTTTCCCCTTCAAGTCTAGTTTAAAGCTCTTCCAGTGAGCCTGCTAACTCCTGTACAAAGATCCTTTCCCACTTTGAGACAGGAGTACCCCGTCTGTTGCCAGCAGGCCTGGTGTCATTTAAACTGACCCATGATCAGCAAACAGAGGAAAACCCTGATCAGCAAACAGAGGAAAACAGTGGTTTACAGTCACTTACCTTATAATATAGCCAACAAGATGATCAGTGTGTGGAAGCACAAAGAGGGATTTTCCAGAAAGGTCACAAGCATTACATAAAGCCGCTGCCCTCTCTGATGCAATAACATCTTCCCCTAGTGAAGTCAAGGAAAGCACAAATAAGCAGTATGCAGTGTTGCAATGTCAAACTAGCTCTCAAAGCTTGACCAGTACAAGGTATGGAAAAAATCTAATACAGATAAGTAAGAAAGACTGTGGTCTTAGTTTTCTTTCAGAGTACTATGTGCTTCACCCATCAGAACACATTGCAGAAACTTTCTAGGAGTGGTTTAGCTAGCAGCAACCTACAAGTATGACAGAAGTTTTTAATCTCGCTCACAGAATGAAATATCCAGTATCTTAAGAAATACTATGGCATCCAGAAAAGACAAACATATATAGCAAGTAGAGTAAAAACAAAAAACAAGAAATGGTTTGCCAGACACTAAAAAGTATGCAGCTAGAGCTGAAGCAGTAGCTCTACAGAAACATATGGTTAGAACGTATCACATTTCACAGCTCCACTTGACTCCAAAATTTTATTGATTAAAACTGAGTTAAGCTAGAAGGCTTCTGTACGTACCAAACACCCTTTCTCTAAGTTCTCATCGCTTTTACAGCTTTTCTTGATCTCAAGCAAGGTTTAAAATGCAACTTGCTTACAAGGACGCATGTCACGTGTATTGCGCTAGCACACTTTTTCTGATACTGTGTATCAAAAAATGGACTTGGACTTAAGAGGAAAAAGTTAAGGATGAAAGTATCAAAAGTTTAGGATCAACTGCCCTGAGCACTCTTCCATCTGCACGCTTTCCTGTAGCCACGATGCATTTAATGTATGTGGATAACATTAGATTAAGAACTACAGATAATGTGACAAATGATAGTCAGCTCAGTCCGTCAGGCCTTCTGAAAAATGAGATCATCACAACCATGCACAGAGTTTTCTGGTACCTGGAGGTAATGGTGTTTTTTTCTGAATCAAAACCACAGCAACTTTCGTATTTCTTCCCTGCAAACTTTGCCTAAAATAAAAACAACATGGCACAGTGTCAAGGTTTCACTTCTTATTTCTGAATAATCAGAATAAAATGAGATTTCAGTCTAGATGGAAGCATTGAAAAAAATGTTATACAGGGGAAAACCAAACACAACAATATGCTGCATCACTCACAGAACGCAGTCTTTCCTTTTTTGTTCAGAAGGGAGCGAATAATCATGCTGAGCTTAGCAAGCAAAACTTCAAGGGCTGTCTTTACTTAAGTAAGTTTTACAAATACATCATTAAAATAAGTTTCTTTACTGTAAAGTTGTATGTTAAAAAGCAAGGTTCACGTTCCCTTTAATTTGTGTCTAAGAAAAAAAAATTTATACGTTTCAGAAAGCAAAAAGGATTCTGCAATTCACAGTCACCATTAGGTTGTAGTATATTATGAATCAAGTGAAAAAACTCTACCTGACAATTTCAACTCGAGTAGCACATTCCAACTGTTTTTCTTTCCATTGTGGCTCATCCCAGTCTAGTTCATAGAACACCACCACAAGTGCTGGAACCAAATTCAGGTGTTTGTTCATCCAACCAGTCTTCAGGATTCCTTTTGGAATATACCATTCATAGGATGTCCTCTGAAAATATTGAGGTTATTAAAGCAAGGTAGCAAATCCATTTACACGCATTTATGCCAGGAGAAATGGAATTGCCTCTACATTCTTGTCACGTAAGAATATGTTTGTAATCTTTCCTTTAACATTTTTCCCCTCAAGCCTTTGCTTGCTGTCAAGTAAAACATACCCCTTGTTACCTGGCATCAGGGCCTGAGGTCTGAGATATCAGCAAGAAAGAACAATAGATTCCCGGTAGACTGGAGAAAAGAGTCAAGTTCAGAAGCACGTTTCATACACTTCCATGAAACATTAGGCTCAATTTAAAAGGGAGCTCTCAAACAGAGTCAGGTGAAAACAGTTTAGAATCTTGTTCTTAGTCAGCATCACAGAATTATGTCGTTTTCCAAGCGTTAAACCCATTGACATTGCTTCTTAACTGCCATTGCAAAGCAGAAAGTAGAGCAGAGATATTCTTTCTGCTGCATTTCACTGAGTTAAAGGCTTGAATTTTTTTTCAGAATACACTAATTTCAAACGTCTAGTTTCTCCAGAGTTAAACTTTGGGTTTCATTAAAGCTCAAATTTTACAAGCATACCTTAACGCTGACTAAATGAACAGCAGGTACTTAAAGTAAATCACATTGGCTTTCTCTGCTTCTGGCTTATGAGCTAAGGCACCCTGGTTTCCTACGCATCCGTAGCACTCCAACATAACGCCCTTGGCTTCCCCTTAGCTCTGAGAATTTTTCTCAGACTTGAAGCTCCCATTCTTCCCCTCCAACAGCGGGGGAAGAGACAGCAGAAGTCCGGCTGAGCGTTAAGCAGCGGGAGCGCTGCTCAGCAGCCTGCAAGGCAGGCAGATCAGCCCAGCCCCTCAGAGAGCCACCAACTCCCGCATAACCCCCC